GTCAATTATCTGCCCCAGGGCAAATGTAGTATCCACCCACAATAATCCATCACCAACTCCAGAAGCTGCCCCATGACTGCATGAGACTTTGGGAGGACAACTAGACAAAACCCATAATAACATGCATGTAATATACATGTACATTTATAGTATGTTTTATATACTCTAACAGCCACATAACATATGTGTTTTAATCACTGCTTTTATATCTAGGATGTGTTATGCACTTTCAAAAGTTTTCTAAAGCTGATAAGCTACAGTTTTTGAATGTTCTCTTTTTGAGAGTGTAATAACTTCCAAATAATTTATAATTACTCATGCATATTACTATTCATCATGTTTCTTTAGTTATTGTAAATATTCATTGACTTCAAAATGAAATCTACGCATCCCAGTTCCTTTCTTATGCATGCCTTTATATTAGATACTTCTTCTGAGAGACAGAAAGAGCACAACAGTTTCTAGAATTAAACCTTGAAGATGGGGGTAATATTTTCTCCTTCCCCGTATAAGCACAATGCCCAAAGCCTCTGTTGCCTCTGTTGTTACTTGAGCAAATTCTATAAGGATTTCAGATCTGAAAACTTCATTACCAGAGGTCTCCCCTCATGTGTCCCACTTACATGATTTCTTTTCAGCCACAATAAGAGGCTTTAAGTATCAGCTGGACAGTTTCAGGGAATTTGGGGGAAGTGAAACAATAGATCTGGTTACCTGACCTATCCAATCTTAGCTCTCACGAGCCTCAGCTGTGTGAGATGGACAGCACAACTCCTAGCAAGGACAAAGGAAGCCATACTGCCTGCCTAACAAGTACTCTAATTGGCAAGCCTGACATGGGATTGGCAATTCAGCATTGACATGAGACAATCACAGAGAAATCACAGAAGGCCAGTTGTTTATCAACATCATAAGCAGTAGGCATTTTGGCTGCAAGTATGGAATTGTAAGTGTGGGGAATACTGGGGAAACTATCCATTCTTTAAGATTTTTGTTGTCAGCAATGTCAACATGAAAGAATTGCTTCTGTTCAGTGAAAACATATTAATATGATAGATATGGGATCTCAGTTGACTGTAAAAGTCCTGCTTTACTTGGATTTTGATGCTTGACAACCTGCATGCATGTCTGGTTTAATTTTATATATTGCAGTTTTTGTTTTACTGAAAGCCAAGAAAACATCTCTTTAAGTCTGATTTTTCTCTTATGAAATGTTGTAGCAGAGGAAAGAACCTTTGCAGGGCAGACAAAAGGAGAATATGAGGTCTCCCCAGGTACCTCCTATCTCAGTCCTCCGAGTAAACACCAGTGTGCTTTGGGCATCCCAACCTCAGGAGTAATTCTGTTTCCTTTTCCATCTCCGCAGATAAATGACAAAAGATAGACATGGGAAGCAGGGAGATTGATTTTTGTAGAGAAAAGTGGACCAAGACATGGAAGGAGGGAGGAGGAAGAGGAATGGATGGAGATAAAAAGGAATTAATTGTCATGTACCAGGGCCACCTCCTCCCATGGAGTGTGAGCATTACATACTGCAAACAGTTGTCAATAAGAAATAATAAAACTTGAAAGGAAGGGAGATGAAGCTGGTCATATGTAAGCCAATATGGAAGTGGAATTCATTTTTACAGTTTATTTGGGAGAGATGGGAAGTAGAGAATGTAACAAATCTCTAAATGAAGATGTGGACCTTTTCCTTATCAGTTACTGGGGGAGGAACTATGCGATATTGAAGGATCCAATGAAACCTGCAGCTAATCATGGTTCAAAAGATGTTGTCATGGTTAAGTCTTTGTGTCTTTTAGAAAACTATTTGGGCAAAGCAGTAATTAACATCATTTATCTTTTTCTTTTATTCCCATTTGCAGGATCATATTAAATCATAATGAAACTCACCATCAACTGATAACCTATTAGAAAGAGGAAGTTCAGAATAAAAGTATAGCTTTTATTTGATAAGAAGCATGTTATTAAATTTCACAGATCATAAAACTAAATTACTAAAAAATGAATTCTCTTCTTTGTCTTGTCCAGTGACTTTAGTTATGTCATATTGAACACTTTTTTCTACATCAGCAAGTCAGAACCTTTAACTGAAGAGTGAAATTGTTGATTCTGTGCCACTTTATATCTAGCCTCAAAAACCAGAAATCTCATCTGTTTCAACAGGGAAAAATACATTTTTTAATCTTAGAAATGAACTAAACTCAGTATATAGAGAAAAGCTAAGAAACACTGCAAATGGGAACAGTTTGGTGACCGGAAAGTCTCAGCCTGAAATGAGACTGATTGGCCTTGTAACATCCCACTGATTACCGAGTTGCTGGTTTTTATGCTGAGCAGAAAAGCTGCAAAGCTGTAAGGACACAGGTATACTAATCAGACACAGTCTTAATCTCCTTCACCATTTTTTGTGAAACAAGGGAAATCAATCAACTTGTATTTGTCAGTGTTTGTAGTTACTATGATGACAATAGATAAATATACAAAAATAAGATGCAAGTGTTTATAGGATCAAAATAAGAGTAGTTTCTGGCTTCAGAAAAATTTAGGGCTTAATGGTATTTACTATGGATATTGTCCAGGAGATTATGGTGAGATTTTTCTGAAATCTTCACTTTCAAAAGTGAGTTTCTATTTTGATATTTTTCACCCATATTGGTAATAGATTTAATTTTCAGTGAATTCTTTACTTCCTAAAATCTAAGTGTATTATATTCTCAAACTTTTGGATATAATTTATTACAGTATCATGATCTTCCAGGTCCTCTGAGGGTCATACTAGTTTGTGAATCACATTATATGCTTCACTTTTAATTGTGTTTTCTGTCTTTTTCCCCCAAAATAATTGCCTGTTACAACACAGATATCATAACCTATGTTAATGGTAGCAACCATTTGTAGAGTATGGCTTTGTATGTTTTTGGTGTGTTTTCTTGAAACTTCAGAACAATCCCGCAAGGAGTGCTCTTCTTCTGAAGATGAGGAAATTGAAACTCAGAGAACGTAAGTCATTTGGCAAGATCAAGAGAGGTAAGTAGTAGAACTGGGGTCATAACTGAATGTAGGACATGTGTTCACCTGTGAGGGCCGTTAATTAGACCCCAGCAATGTGCACACAGAGTGGTAGAGCTTGATTTCTGTGTGTGCCTGGCTACAAAGATCACAATTTTTCATTTAGTCCACACTTTTGTGAAGATTATGATGGGTCTGAGAAGATTGTTGAGGATCTGAGAGAAACTGGGCCTACAATGTATATGAAGACAAGTTTTTTCAATGGGCTGTGAGAATTGCTGTAGTTTGGTAAAATCCTTAGACTAAGCCTTGGTTGTCTTCCTTGTTTTCTTTTTAGGTAGTTCTGTGAGGAAGAGACTGAATCAGGTGATTCTGTGAACTTGTCTTTGTTTTGTGACCTACAGTGGACAACATCTAGCTTGTTCTCCTTGTCCTGGCTCATCTGATCTGCTCATGATGCCCCAGATCATCTCATTTCTTTTCATAGGACAGTAGAGGGTAAGGACTCGACTTCAGTTGCTTGCTGCTGTCACTCTGAAGAGTCTCCCCTGGGTACACTATGTGCAAAAAGTTGAAGTCTAGAGTGGCTGATAGACATAGTATAGCCTTTACCTTAGGCTGTGTTTCATGAAGAATTTGTACTGTGTGATTTTTTTGTTCCAGAAGAGAAAGCTCTGTCCACCCTGCTGTTGTAAAGCTTTGCCCTCTCCTTTCTTTTATATCCTGCCAAGTGCTGGACCTCTCCAGTGAGTATTGCAGGAGAACTCATGAGTAATCATAACCATAAAGTGAGGATATCTGTCATTTCTCTTCAATTCTGGATTCTTTGCCTGGGAAACCTCAGGCACTGCTGCTATTGTGGTTTCCTGGTGGCCTGTCTGAGTCATGTGGTCACAGGGGCTGACACTGTTCTGAGCCTGATTTTTGAATGCAGAGGACATCTGTTTCCTGGGGAACCTTTCCAAGTATTCCACCGAGCCCTCGGGCCCTTCTTCCTCTTCCTCTTCCAATCACCCAAATCTTTCCACCAGTTATATAATAATGTTTGTTTTTATTTCATTTGCTTTAGAAATAGTACACATCTGCAAAAAAAAAAAAAAAAAAAAAAAAAAACCCTAAGTCTATGTATCTTTAGGAACATTGATAATAGGTGTACTGATTGAATGCTAGCCAGTGCTGACACTGCTTTGATTTCTCCCATAACCTCAAACTCCCCTCGTACTACATGTAGTAGCCTAGCAAAAAGTGCTTTAAATACTGGCTTTCAAGCCACTGCAGTAGGCTTAAAAATAGCCTATGAAGATGTCCTTGTCCAAATTCCTAGAACTTATGAATAGGTTACATTACTAATGGAATTCTGCACACCTGATTTCATAAAGGATCTGGAGATGGAAAGATTACCCCAATACAATCCAGGTGGGCCTGTTATAATGGCAAAATTCTTATGAGAGGGACCTAAGAGGAGTCAGAGTCAGACAGCAGCCACCTGGTAGAGAAAGATGACAGAAAGGGAGACTCGAGGGAGCTGTGCTGCTGGCCCTGGAGGTGCAGCGTCAGAGATGGCCTATGGAAGCTGGAAGTATTAAAGAAATTGATGCTCCCTGGGTTTCCTCAGCCCTTCAGACACCTGGGCTTGAGCTCAATGAACTGAGTTTGGTCCTCTGCACATCAAAATTGTGAGAAAATACATCTGTGTTGTTCCAAACCTGTAACCCTGTGCTGATTTGCCAAGGCAGCAATAGAAAATTAATACCCTCCCACTGACTCCAATCAGATGCCTCCAGAAATGGATTTGTAAGGTTGGGCCCTTCATAGATTAAAAAAAAAAGAAAGAAAGAAACAACTATTCCTTACTCTCTTGAGAGAGTAAGGGAACAATCAGCTGTGGCAGCCATTGACATAAGCTCAGTCTTTTATGACTCTCTGATACCTTGGATACTTGGGAAAAACCCAGACATAAAGCAAATCTAAGCAATATATTTTTGTAAAGGCTTTATTTCCATGTTATTTGTAAAAACATACCAATAAATATATCTCTATTCCAAAACATGTAGCAACAGTGCACAGTTGTGGTTAAACAAGGCATTGTGCCTTACGAAGAAGACATAAAATGTCCAAGGGATAATTAGAACATTGTAGTTCTTAAGGCTTCAACATCAGAAATGTTGACTACATACTGTGAAAGTATTACAATAAATAACAGCTAAGGTTCACACTCATCTTAACAGTTACACAAACAGATGTGCAAGCACACTTCCAGGTTAACATGGATCTCTGCATCCTCCACCTGGCTGGTGCAGTGCCCAACAAGCTTAATAAATAAATATTTCACACCCTTCATCTTCACACTAAGCCAGTCAAGACTCAAATAACTTCTAGTTAACATTAAAAATGTTAACTTTTTTTGTTAACTAGTTAACAATACAATATGATATCCGAAAATCAAACACCATCACATCTTTAAATATTAAACAATATAAAAGCATAGAAAAATAAATTAATACATATGCAAATAAATAGAAAAAAAACTTTCATAAGAAATCATCACAGGCATTGGCACAGTCCCAGCATCCTTGGTGTTATCTTGTCTCTATTCCTTAGACTCCTCTGAGAATCCCTTCAGAAGCAGGAGCAGGGCTTCTGGTCCTCTGGGAATCAGTTGGCTTTGCTTCTGTGAAGAGAAGAATACTGTTGTTAGCAGGAGCTCAGAAATCTCACAGGAGGGCCTTCTCTACTAAGCTCTTCTGCTTATTCTCTAGTCTTGCACTCGACAAAAACCACTAGTCTTCTAGTGCTGTTGGCCAGGAAGAAGGGGAGCTGTAATCACATTGTAGTTTAGCTTCAAACAGCCGCATGCTGTTACAGCAGCATAAAAATGATTTAGTCAGGAGCCATCTCAGAACAGCCTCAGATCAAACCCACTCAGGAGCAGTTTTGGTTGTTTCCACACTGCTTGGAGACTCCTCAGAATAAGCCTCAGAACCTCCTGAACCCAGCCTGGCCTCAGACAACGTCTCTGCTGGTCACAATAAAGTTTAAAGCCCGCAACCCACAACAGAATGTTCCTCTTTCAAGCCTTGACCCTTGGTGTCAATAGGTGAGAGCCTTTCAGCCCTCTCAGCCAGTTCTAAGTCTTGCAAGACCAGGAGTTTACTCGCACTTTTTAGAGTAGAGGACTTTACTAGCACTCTTTAGTGCGTGCCTCCCATGGCAGACAGCCCTCCTCTGGGCAGGCAGATGAGTGCTCTGCGAGGGGAGGTGAGTAATGGAAAGATGGCCCTGGTCCTCATCCCGCAGCTGCACTCCGGCCCCCACCACCCCATGTGAGTTCAGGGCACAGACCTGGCCCTAGTCCCGTGCGCACAGAGCCCCACGCACCTGCTCAGCATCCTCTGCAGTACTTTCTGCACCATGGGGGCTTCCGGGTCTAGACAGGCTTCACGTCCATCCTTGAGCGTGGCCCTGAGGGAGGAAGGGAGAGGCCATGAGTGAAGTAACCTGAGCTGTGTCAGGATCCCCAAGTCAGGGTTCCCAGGTCTAGCGAGGCAGCGGGACTGGAGACTTACACGACTTCGGTTTGGTGGCAATGGGGTCCTGGCGCTGTCACCGCTACGCTCTGGATGTTCCTGGGGTGCAGACCGCGCACAGGCTGCAGGCAACGGCAACGCAGCTCGGTGTTTAGAGGTGCCCCTAAGGAGAAGGACAAGGAGGTGAGCAACGTCCCCGTGCCCAGTCCTGGGGAAGGGGAGAGGGACGAGCGCGGTACCGTCCCGTGTTTCCGGGATCCTCTTGTCCCGGACCTCCCCGTCCTCGCGGTCCCACCTGTGGCTTTCCAGAAGGCGCCCACGACGAGCAGCAGAAGCAGCAGCAGTGGAGCTGGGCGCAGGGCACTGGGGGTGGTGCGGGCCATGGCTGGACTGGAGCTCTCAGGCTGGACTGGCGCTGTCAGGCTGGGCTGGAGCTCTCAGGCTGGACTGCCGCTCTTCGGCAGCTGCACCCCTTTATGCGCCTCTGGGAGGCCGTGCTGGGGCTTCCCCCAGCTCAGTTCCGGAAGGAGACGCCCTCCGGGCGGGGACACGCGTAGAGCCAAGGTCCCTGCAGTTGGAGGGAGCTGGGGTTTTCCCTTCTGTGCTCATAAATGCTGTTTAATCTTATCTATCAGGGATTTTACACAAGTATTGGCTTCCATCCTGGTATTTTGCTGGACAATCAGATCACAATTTGTGACAATGAAAGATCGGTATCAAAAGTGCATTCCAGTGTTTGAGAAAGTGCGGTAAACGCTCCGCCGTTTCCTTCCTGTGCGAAAGGCAGGAACTTCCCAAGCTCCAGGGAATCCAGAGCGCACCGCAGCCTGGCCGGAGGGCGGCTGGGGACCCGGGGGTCCTCTTGGGCCTGGGCCGGGAAATTCCTTGGCCTCCCAGGACACTCTCAGAAGCAGAAAACGGAAACAAAGCTTTTGTAAATGGGGAGAGGAGGGGTTGAAGGTAGGTAGGGGAATGGGGGGAAGGAATGAAGTTGTATCATGTACAGGTAGAAATTCTCTATGATGAACGTGATCATTATGTATATGTAAAACGTACCGATAAAATCTAATTAGAAAAAAGTAGGAAGTGGAAAATGTCTTAAAGTTTATAAAATATGTAATTCATCAATAATTGAGGATTTGTGGCATTGATGCTAGTGTTTCCACTATTTTTCTGGGATTCCTAGTTGAAAATACAGTCTATTTTCTTGAAACAAATGAGTGGCTCAGAACTACAATAATTATTCTTTAAAATGTGTAACTATTACTTTATTTTTCTACACATATACATCTATATGTGCTTACCGCAGAAAATTATAAAAGGCAGAAATAAAGAAGGCAGATTACTAGGCGTTTTATGATTCAGTCCAATGAACAAACTTCATAAGAATTTTGCTTTTGTGTTCAATGTCCCCAGAAAGTGACAGATGTATGTTATGATATCTAGTGATTAGGAAAAATTATAAATGCCTGTCCTATCTGGCCATCATTCGTTGTGAAACCTGACTCACATTTACTTAGCATCTTAACCTCTCCACTGTGCCATCCCTTCTTACCTCCCCAAGCCCACATATCACATTTCATAAGGAAGTGGAAGGCTATGAAATTTAAGTAATTGTCTAGGTCTCACAGCAAATAAAATTCAGAATTTGAGCTTCAGGCAGCTGGGACCCCGCTGCCAACAAAACCAAAGTCATGTAAGTCTCAAAAAAAATTTTTAGGGGGTGTAAATGATTCACAGCTTCAGGAAACTTGTTTGTTTTTAACGTTTGTTACCTCATAGTTTAACTTCATCTTTCCTAAATCTTAAAAGTAGCAAACTTTTCAAAGGCCTCCAAGTGTTTTATTTCATCAATAGCAAGTTTTCCTTCCTGACATATATTACCCTTAATTTAATCAACACTTCCTATCCCATCTCAGGCAGCAGAAATGAATTTTTCACCCTCAGAGCTTCCTGGAGGTAAAATGTGCACTGTGATAGGCTCTAGCTTACTGAGATCAGTTTCCCTCTTTTTGTGGGCCCCTTGTGGGTTAAGAACTGTAGCACTGGGCTGGGGAGATAGCTCTGTAGCATAAGTACCTGCCTGGCAAGTGCAAGGTCCTGAGTTAAATCTCTAGTACCAAAATAAACAAACCCTGAATTGTTTTGCTTTAGCATTAGTTGGAGATGTCCCAGAACACTATCCTAATAACTTAAGAAAATGGGAGATATTTGCTGTAGTGACTTTGAGACCCAGTTCAAAGTATTGACAAGAGAAAATACTCAAAAGGAAATACAGACTTAAAAATGCATAGTAGTTTTGAAAAAGGTGAAACTATTCTAGAGACAACTTCTTATATGTAGAATAAGGTGTAACTTTATGCCTAAGACTTGTGTAATAAAAAATAATTGCTACAAAATGGAATACTACAAGGTATTCCTTTTATAGTATATCAGTCCTCATAATTTGATCTATAACAGTCTATATTTATTTTCTTAGAAACATTTAAAAATGAGATTGGGCCAAAATAAATAAATTCTTCCGTATTTTAGTGTTTTCTCTAGACAGTTATCACTGTGATCTGGGTAACTGGTTTCTATGTCCTAACATCAAATCTGTGCAGTCTGCAAGTGGAGAAAAGAGAGAAATCGCTAAAACAAGGTGTTGCTTGAAGATCCCTGTTTTGGTTGGTACATTGGTGGATCTGCAGTTTTGTTATCACTGTGTACCCTTCCTTTTTGACAAAAGCTGCTGTCCACCCTGAGCGCTAGCTGAGCCACAGGAATGAGCTCTTGCTGCATCCCACTGTGCTTGGGCCATCGCAGATATGTGTCTATATTTTTCTGCTGGATGGTTAAGACCAAGATAAACTAAGCCCTATATAACAAAAAATGTAACTTTTGTATCTGACACGGTCAGTCAAATCCCCTCAGGATTTACCTGAAACCTTGTGCAGCAGTTTGTAGATCTTTTGTCAGTGTCAGCCATCTGGATGAGTCACAGCCATTGCTTGACCAATCTGCTCTCTGTGAAAGCCTGAGAGAATGTTTTCTCTCCATGTGACTCTCCTTAGGCACACTCTACATCATAGATCACATTCCTCTGTGGCCCCATAATCTCCTTGATCAGAAAATTTGGGACACAATTGAGTTACATTATGTTACAGTACAGGTTCTCCTATGTCCTCAGTCCTCACTGACCTTGAAAGGCTAGGGCTAAAATGTTGACTGTCCTTGCAGCCCTTCTTTTTCTCTAATTTTTGGTCTGCAAATTTAAGTTGTTAATCCTCCAGAAGAGAAGCTTATTATTGCCCTACAACATATGCAGTAGGTTTAACCTCACATTAATAGGCCGAGCTGTAAAAGGCCCAAATTGACAACTTCTGACATTGCCAGTTCTTCGGATAACTCACTATTATTATGGACTACTAGACTATATTAGATTATTTTGCTGAATTCACCTACCTACAATATTTGAATGGCAATGGAATACCATCTCTGACAAAACTAAACAAAAAAGGAGGATTAAATGAAGAACCATTTTGTAGTAATATATATATATATATATATATATATATATATCTGTATATACTAAATAGTTTAGATAAAAAGCTACTTTCTCTTAGTTCAATGAGAAGAAAGATTTGTGCTAATAGTGTTTAGACAAGATATCATGTCTGCATCTTGTAGTATGAATAACCACTATAAAGACAACAATATGCAATATATTAATTATTGTAACTGTCCTACTAACCTGTTTTGAAATTGTCTCATTGCTATTTCTTTCTCAATAAAATTAATTTAAAAAAAATGAAAAACAAAGCCTTTGCATGTCAGTGCTATTTACCCTGTCCTGATTCTAGTGATCTGCCACTTGTGCAGGTTTGAGCCCCTTCCCTTTAATTTTTATAAGATAATCTTGGTTTGCTCATGGAAACTGGAGCTCCAGTTTTCTTTTCCTTGGCCTCTCTCCTTCCCAGTCTGAGTGGCTCAGGTAAGGTGATCTTACTCTGAAGTCCAGGAATGAGCTGCAAGTCCCAGCTAGGATCGCACCGCCCTTCCTGTTTGGGTCCAACCCCCAGTCATGTTGACAGGCTCAGAGGTGACAGTGACTTCCCCTGTCCAAGTCAGAAAAATTCCTGGAACACTTTTTGTTGGGAAATGGTTGGGCAAAAATATTGTGCTTCCTGCTGCTTATCGCTGGTAGAATAGAGGCTTGAAGCTTTGCCAGTGCTTAAGGAGAGCCTGCCTAAAACGCAGCCAGCATAAAACACAGCAGCAGATCCAGGAAGACACAGAGCTCTGGGGAGAAGTTTTGAAATCCAGGACTCGGTTTCATCTTGCCTTCTCATTAGGCTGTCAGCTTCACAAGGAAGGGAAATGAGTTCTGTCTTTGTCAGGCCACTTTGTACTGGATGTCTGTTTTCACTTACTGCTTGGATTATGTTTCTGAAAGAAGAGCCTTTCAACCAGAATTCAGTTCCTTTGTTGCTCCATTCATTTCAGCACTTTCATGGACCATTTCCTCAGCATTCGTAACATAGGAGCAAGGCTAGGTATCACCAGCACGAAGATGAGAACAGACTCTCAATGCCCTGGGGGCATGAAAGTAGAGGTGAGCTTTTAGAAAAGCCCATGGACACAGATTAGTTCTTTAGACTACCAGATGTAAACTTGTAAAATTGGTTAAAAAAACATGAATTGGGAACGATTATAACCAACTGTCCCTCAGACAAAGGACTTTTATCTAAAATATATAAAGAATCAAAAAATTCAGGCCTCCAAAATTCAAAGACCCAGGTATCTGAGGTGAATATATACTTCACAAATGAAGAAATACAAATGGCAAATAAGGGCTGGCCAAATAGCTCAGCAGATTAAAGTACCTGCAAGCAGGTGCAGGGGCCTGGGGTTCAATCCCAGGGCCTGCCATGTTGGCCCCACCCCCGAGGGCACACTGAAACAGTGATTGAGACTGGGCATGGTGGCATGCTCCTGTAATCCCAGCTCTTGGGAAGCTGTAAACAGGCAGATCAGAATGAGTCTAATCTAGTAGTGAGACTCTGTAGACCCTGTAGACCCTTCCCTCAAATACAGAAAACAAAACAAAACAAAAAACAAATGGCAATAAATATATGAAAAAATATTCAACATCATTGGTCATTCAAGAGATGCAAATTAAAACAACACTGAGATATCATTTGAATTTCTATACTTTTGTTTAGTGAAATTCTGTAGTTTTTTTTTTACTATTTTTTATTCTCTTTAAAAATAAAAAATAAAAAAAGAAATCAAAATTAAAAAAAAAGGAAAAAGAAAATCCCATGGACACTATGGTGACCTGAGCAAGGCATTAGGGGCAGAGGGCCCACCTGCTCCAACTCTTACAGTGCAGACTTACAAGAGTGTCAGAGAAGGTTTCTTGGAGGACTTGACATGTTAGGCGAGTTTTAAAGAATGAAGTGCTTTCTAAG